ATCCATGATTTAGAGAGTCATACCAAGAATAGACGCCCGATGTCAAGACTTGAAAATCTAACTTTTAAAGTGTTCCTGAAAATTAGATGACCCTATTTTTCTAATCCTTTCCCGAGGTTGCGGGAGGGGGCACAGGGCAAACGGTCCGTGGACATACATGTCTCATCTCCTTAGTTCACACTTGAAGTGTTGTATGTCATGTAGGTATTAGAAGTTTTATTTCCTTGAGCTGCAGAGAGACTCCCGGAAAGACAAACTGTAAACAAATCGTCTGACATACACCCTCTGGGACCCCGTTTCCAAACGATCCCGCCCAGTGACATTTCATTGATTGTGCACAAGCTGTGAAAAATGCTACCTCTCCTCTGATGCATTTGAAACTTCTGTGCACTAGCCTTTTGTCCCACTCATAATGAATATGAATGCTGTGTTCTATTTCGGCATTGTGCTTTTGCTCTTCTCCTGGAAACGGATAAGATATGACATCCATTTCATCACTTAAACAGTCGGGGTAAAGGTTGATGTGAGAGCCGAATGAAGGCCCTGAGCTGCGACCACACGCACTTGCCAAATCAAATGCATTACGGAGGGAGTTTCCGTGAGTGTAGTGAGAATGGCAGCCTGTGTTTCAAGCCCTGGGTGTACAGACTTGGCTTCATGCGGTCTGGTGGAATGAGACCTGGCCTGAGAAGGAGGAACTGTGCCCAGAGCTCCTTTCAAGAAAGCCTTTCCCATTACCAAATGTATGCAATGGGTGCTGAATTCCCATTACCCAAATAAGAATTTCTTTCTTGAAGCATCCATGGGAAAGAGTGCAAATTACTTCAAGAAAGGATTTAAGGGAATTAAAATTAGAGTTCAAGTCAATTCAATAAGTATTTACTAAATACTTAATGTGTACTCATTACCATGGGAGACACAAAGGGACATTCACTATTTTCATGGAAACTGGGTAAAAAATTAGTTAAAATGAAATTGGCAGAAATGCCATTCGGGTTGCGTTTATTTTAAATTAGTTTTTCCCAGCCCCTGGATTTTTGTGTGTTGGCAATTTTTACATGTCTTTGTCTTAAATCTTTGCATAGACCTATAATTATTTTCATCCATCTTTCAGAATTTAGGGCATTTTGATACCATTTAAATGATTTGGATAATGCTTTTATAATGTGCACATTTTTACCATTTTGTCATTTGCAACTGGAAGAGAATATTTTCATTCATCCTCAGTTATTTCCATTTGTTGACAGTGTTCACATTAATATTTTAGTATTGTTTTTTTCTAAAATCACGTTGATTGACAATAAAAATCCCCATTCCCCAAATCATAAATTTATAACTTTGTCCTACCAACCAGTGACTTGAAATTTTAAGTTAGTTTTTAATCACTTTCTCCCATGTGTAAAGTTATTTTGCTTTAAAAAATGTTAATTATAAATTTATAACTTTGTCCTATCAAGTGGTGATTTTAATCACTTTTTTCCATGTGCTAAGATATTTTGCCTTAAAAAATGTTAATTCGTTTTAACCCTCGGAGTCCCATTTACGTTTTTAGTTAAATGTGGCAAAAAGTGTTTTAAAGTAACAATTTGTTGTTGTTTCTGAAATGTCACTTAATTCAGTCAGTTCTTGAAAACTCATTAGCTTTTGTCCATTCCCATCAAGCTACAAATGCTATGAATCTTATATCTAGAAGAATACATGAGATACTTTATATTAATATTCATATTTACTAATTGGTTGAGTTCCTGCCGAGAGCTAGATGTTATTCTAGAACCATGTAGACATGGATGGAAGGGCAATCCAAGGTCTGAACTCCAAGCAGGTGGTTGCAGCGCAGCCCAATGAGAGTCACACAGAGCGGGTATTTTGAGCCTCGCATTGTCTCCTTCAATCCTCACGTTGTCCCCTGTGAAATAAATACTGAAGAGAACACATTTTTAGTAGGTTAACAGAGCTAATAAGAGCAAAAGATGAGTCTTCAATCCACTTCTCTTTCCATTCTGTTTTGTTGTCGGTTGAAAACAAAGCCTTGCAACTTTGTAAGTGTTGAGTGAACATTTTCTGAACTTGAATGCGATTGTCAAGATGTTAAAATGAAGACAAAACTCTGTAGAAAAGAACAAAAAAAGATGTTTATATCAGTCTAAGATGTCAGGGAACAGTTGACAGAAGAAAAGGAGTCCGGGGTAGCCCAGAAACAGGTCCCTGTCTCTGCCCAGGGCTTTGACGGGCGTGCGTGACACCAGCCCTCCCTGGGAGCGGGCAACTGCACGTCGCAAAGATCCTTTACATCATCTACACTGTTCGAGAGGCGATGTGCACTGTAGGCCCGGCACGCCCTTCCTTTCCTGCTTTTTCCCTGGGGGGGAGGGGGCGGGGGGACATCACTTTCCACGTCTACATTCTATTACATTACAGATAGCTTCCCTAGCCTGGTGACCTAGAATGGCCAAAATTATTTTTCTTTCTGAGTCCCATCAGTTGTTTCCAAATACTGCATTCAACTCTTTTAAAAATTTTAAGACATGGATTTTTTTTTTTTTCCTAGAGGCCTACTTTTGGTTGATCTTTTTTTTAGGAAAGATATTTTCCCCCTTTAAACATTTCAAAGCTCATGCAATTCCACACTCCCTAGCAATGACCGCACAGTGAGGTTTTACACAGCCTCTCCTTCCCTTTTCTTTCCCCGTAGTAAACAGGTAGTAGTAAGTAGATACACAGGATGACGTTTGCGCACGCAGCAGCAGCAACATCGCATGAGATCCTTCATAGTATATTTTTGTTGCTCTGGTCTTTCAGTGCAAAAGTCATGTATGTTATCTGTCCTAATGCCAATCGTTAAAAATGATTTCTTGGGATCCCTGGGTGGCTCAGGGGTTCAGCGCCTGCCTTCGGCCCAGGGCCTGATCCTGGAGAACCGGGATCGAGTCCCACATCGGGCTCCCTGCGTGAAGCCTGCTTCTGCCTCTGCCTGTGTCTCTGCCTCTCTCTCTCTCTATGTCTATCATGAATAGATAAATAAAATCTTTTAAAAAATGATTTCTTGCTATTTTCAATAGACAAGTGGATAGAAACATTGAACCAGCCGCATTCAACTTTCAGAATGGCTTATGTGGTTCTTCCAGTCACGTGTTATGGTTCTCTGTAGCAGGGTTTACAATTTTTGATCGATTTACATTGATAACTCTTACCTCTGGGGAAGCAATGTATCTGGACACATTCTGAAGTGAATTTATATGCCATCTAATAAGACGTCTTTGTACCACTTAATGCAAATAATAAAGATCCCCCCCAAAAAACAAATTTTTAAAAAGGCAAGAAGGGATTTGCAAATTCTAAATATTCTTGGACCAGGAAGGAAAACACCAAAAGCATTCCTATGTACATGTCTCCCCACCCCAATCTCTCTTTTCCCATTGGTGATAGAAATGCAGCCCTGCCCTCCCTGTCTCTGGCTCTCAGGCCCCCAGGGCCTGTTGGCCAGCAGGTGTCCTGGGTGGTCAGTGCGAGTGTCTCTCCAGGACGGAACTGAAACATTCCGCCTTAGAAAAGCCAGAGACGGTTAAATGCCAAACCATGTTTCTAAACATGATTTTAAATAGATTTATTGCCTTAGCTTGTGAAGTTACATACAGACTTTCTTTTTCATGAAAGAGAAGACTGTAGATTATAGAGAATTATTTTCTATTGTGTTGTCAGATTTTTGCAGACTGGATTCACAAACTTTTTTTTTAATCTAGAACTGAGCACACTTTGACTATGTACATAGTAATTTCATAAACACGTCAATATTACCTATCTATGTTGTGGTGTTTGTTTTCTAAGTGTTTCCACATAGCTTAGTTCATACCTATATAAGTAATTTTGTAGTAAAAATCATCTTAGACATCACAGATATTCTCTCCCTGTTCACTGGAAAAGTTTTCTTTCTCAGTTTACAAACAAAGAAAACAAGAGTTTGCACTAACTTTCCGTATATATCCAAATCCACCCCCCAGGGCCATGATAATTTTTTTTTTTAAGGATACAGAGATAAAATTATTTGTTTATTGGAAATGCTTTTTTTTTTAAATCTTTCCTCTTTTAAGTGGCAGGTTCCTTGGTTTATTTTACTACGTCATGATAGCTCTTACTGATCTCATGCTAAATTTAAAGCAGAGAAATGTCGACAGCAACCAGCAATCATCCCCTTGATCCACGTAACCTAACAGTAAATCGGTGAAGATCAAAATTATGTTGTGAGTATGGACTGGCATCCTGTTGAGGAGGTTTCCAGGCAGTCGAATTAGGCAGAGAACGCTCTCAACATAAAAAGTGAGCAGGTCAAGAAAGACCAGAATCAAAGCTTTCTTATGGACTTGCTTTGTCAAAACTAACGGGTAAAACTTCACTGGGAAGCAGACCCCGTGGCCACATGAAGACCAACGGCCACGTCGGAATAGAATAGTCGTGCGTTTCTTTCTTAAGTCCAACAGATGAACGAATGAAATCCTCAATTTATTCTTTAATTCAGTTGTTTGCCCAACAAACATTGATCAAACATTGACTAGCGACGCGTGTTTGGTAGCGCTGGTCCTGGAGTCACGCCTGGGTCCCCCTGGCATGACTATCCATCCGTGCCTAACTTCTGAGCCCACCTTTTCCTTCCGTGTTACCTGGCTGCAAACTCCCTGAGACTCTAGAGTAACATCCTTGGAAAAATAATCTAGACATCGTCGAGAATGCAGAATGCGAGCAGAACTGTATTTTCTCAACTATATTTTCTCCCTCTTCTCAAACTGTAGCTATTTATACTCTGGAAGGATCCTTAAAAATGGTTGAATGGTAGATATTCTAAAACACGAATACATTGTCTCTGTTTATTTTTGGGGGGCAAAATGAAAATATGTTTATGCTCAATTTGCTAATCTGATAGATTCGCGCAGTGCATGTTTTGTGCTAAAACTTGATCTCAAAAGAAAAATCTTTAAATTTTCTGTCTTTTTCTTTTCTTTCTGTAGTTTTACCTAGCCACACGTGTGGAAACCCCGGGGAGATCCTGAAGGGAGTTCTCCACGGAACGAGATTCAACATAGGAGACAAGATCCGGTACAGCTGCCTGTCTGGCTACATCTTGGAAGGCCATGCGATCCTGACCTGCATCGTCAGCCCGGGCAACGGGGCTTCCTGGGACTTCCCGGCTCCGTTTTGCAGGGGTACGTACCACACAGCCGGGGGTGCAGTGGCCTGGACCCAACTGTGGACATGGCCTTGGGGCTGATGCTCTAACAGCTTCCGCTCAAGGAAGAGAACTCATGGCCTGCTGGGTCCCGCCGGACCAGCGCCTTCTGTTCCTAGAAGTCATGTCACCTGTACCCCAAGAGGCCATAGGGGGCCTGGAAAGCCAGTAACAGACATAGATGTGTCCTTAAATATCCAAATGTTTCTTCATTCTGCTTTTCAGACTCTATTCCCTTTCCGCGTAATGTTATCACTTGCTGTCACAGCTTCCAGGCTTTACTGTTCACATTTATATCCTTCTTGCTGTGACAGCTCCTTTTTTTTTTTTAATCTTCTCATTAAAAATGACAAATGCCATCCATAATTAAATTATCCCTTTTAAGGACTCTTTGGGCATTCTTAGGACTTTGAGATAAGGTGGTCGTGAAAGGCTGTGCCCTATCCAAGTGCTCAGCGGCATGATTCGGGGCAAGGTTAGGATTACTTTCCCAACGCCCTGTGACTTTTAGCTTCTTCCGTAACATTATTTTACTGATCCGGTAACTTTAGGGAAGAGCTGACTGCAATGCTTAAGTTCTGACTTTCCGGAGAGAAACTCCACTTAGGTTTTCAAAACTAAAAGCGTGGCCAACATCTATTAAGGCCTTAATAAGAGGCCAGAAAGCGTTGCCGAGGGCTTTACTCGGACCACAGTGATGCTCTTCACAACCACAGAAATAATAATCATAAACAGTCATTTAATAGATAAAGAATCAAAGTTTGTATCTTGAGCAGGTCCCAGAGATAGGCGGCACGTGCTGCGTTAGGACTTGCACCCGGGTCTGGCTTCTAGTCACACAGCCGCACAAGGTCACAGCCTCGGCCACAGGACCTCACAGAGCAGTGTGTTGTCACCTGTGCGCTTCTCGCTCAGTCTATGCTACTTAATGGACACTTTCCTTTTAGAAAAAAAGTGTTTTCTGTTCAACGTTGTGGTGTCCTAAGATCTCACTGGTGCTACATTCGGGCGCAATGACCTGTCGCTAGTGCCACCTGCGACCTCTGCAGGTGCTGCCGGCAGCTGGGCCGGACCAGTCACTTCACCTGCTTCGTGTCCTACCTGTGCAAGCAGGTGTCTCATCACAGGCTCATTCTGTAGCCGAGGAATCTGAAGTTAAGAGGTGTGACTGGGTCAGGGTATTCTAGCTCGGAGGTGGTGGGGTCAGGCGGAGCGTGTCCAACGGCTCCCCCACCCTGGAGGAAATCCTACTGCCCACGTTTCCTGGTGCTTCCTCCAGAAGTTCTTATTTCTTCTGCACGTGTCTGAACCTGTCCTCTCTCTGTCTCTCTCTCCCTCCCCCTTCCTTATCACTACTGATTATTTTCCATTTTGTCAAAAGAATGGTGTGTGTTAGGTTTTTTCCAAAATGTACAGCGGAGAAATAAAAAAAAAAAAAAAAAAAAAAACAAAAACAGCAGAGCCAGGCAGTAGGTTCGAGAGTGCTTTTAATGGGGAGCGCTCCCGGGTGAGGTTCCATGACTCGGAGAGGTGGCCCGGGTCAGGGAAGTCGCACCGGGGTTGGGGAGTGTGGGGGGTTTTAAGCCTTACTGGTTCCGGGTCTGGATCCGGGTGGGTCCCTTGCCAACTTAGGCAAGGGAACACCATGTCCCTAGGTGATTGGCTGGGGGTAGGGATAGCACAGACGATGGGGGTGGTCCCTGGCTGGAAAGTCCTGGATGGAAAGTTTCGGTTTCCCATCTAGGCTTTGATTTACTGGAGTTGATGTGGTGGTCATGGCTGCTTTGGCCTGAAGATCAGCCATTATGACCCAATTTGAGATGTCCGCCATGTTGGGTGCCCCTGTCTCTCAGCCAGCCCAACAGTGTGTACTCAAAATCAGGCCTCCCTTCCATTTGCCTTGTTTTGTCATTGAATCTCCTCAACCAGCTGGTCCCACCTAAGGACACTGGCAGGGGGTGTCCCAAATACATGCCCTCTGCCTTGACCCCCCCCCCCATTGTGCCCTGCACTTGGGGCAACACTGGAGCTCCTGCAACTTTGGCCTCTTGTGCCCTGTGCGCTACCTTTTCCTTTTCAAACTTTCGTTCACCTCTGTTCCCACTCTCGGTCCCCTTATCATTATTTGTTCTTTTCACCCGGGCCCCCTCAGGTTGGTTACAGGAGCTCCATGTGACGAATGTCACATCCATCCTACACCCTCCTCCCAGGTGGCTCTTCCCAGCACCCAGCTCCCTGGCCACCTCCCTCTCAGCCAGACCCGTCGTTGATGCTACAGGAGCCAAGTGCCAAGTCTTCCTCACGGCTCCCATGTGTCCCAGGGTCACCTTGGTGTAACTGAACAGCGGATGGCACCTGCCAGTGTGCCCCGACACAGACTCGAAGCATTTCTGCCCTGTTCAATGATCTTCCAGGGCTCGGGGGGCTGGTGCTCCTCACAGCCGTTGATGGTAGAATCCCCTGTGCTCTGCGGGAGCTGGAGGGCACCCTGGACAGAGCGTTTACACCACAGAAATTGGCAAACCCTACACACCACGGCCTTGTTTTTGGTTTATTTTTTTCCCCAAAGAGTTCCTTCCCAACATACCACTCCATGCTCAATCCCAAACTTTTGATGTTTTTCTTCTGTTACACAGTTCACTTTTTCGTCCTCCACAAATCTTGCTGATTTATCAAGTTTACACTTAAGTCCAAATTTCTGTCATTTCTTACATTGTAACCTCTTTTGGGATTTTTTTTAAGTCCTTCTGTCTATAGTGCTTATTTTGTTGCTATTTTACATTTGAACATAATGTCTTAACATGGCTTCCTGAAGGAGCTTCGAACCTCCCAGAAGACAGTACATAGTCATACAGACTTTGTAGCCAGACCCTCAATTCCTCGATTCCTCTCTACATTAAAATGTAGCCTCATCTACAGCACTTTCCCCTTACTGCTGTACCCGATTCCCACAGTCAAGAACTTAATAGAGGCATAGACAGATGTCGAGTATCCCATAAGGAGTCTTTAATCAACCTGAAAATGCAAGAAGTAAATATTAATAGTAGCCACTACTACTTCTGTCTTCTCCAAGGAGTTTTCTTCTTAAATGAAGGGTCTTTATTTATTCCACAACTATAAGCCTTATAAAGTCAAAATTAATATAATAATACACCCAACAATCATTCTTAGTCTGTCACCAATTTATTATATTCCAACTATATTAATATATTTTTGTCAGCATAAATATTTTTTCTCCTTCATTACAGATGATTACATTTATACTTATATTTTGCTTATATTATACTTATATTTTGCTTTTCCCACTGCTTGGGCTAGTAGCAAATTCAAAGGGCATTAAATTAGATATAATTGTTTTATGAAACAAATCTGAAAGCTGCAACAGTTTGTCATTGAATTGGATAACTGAATCATAAAGAAAATCAATGACCTAATTCTTATAAATGTGTAGATGTGGCCTACCTAGGGGAAACATAAATGAATTTCAGTAAAGTGGGCTTAGATAATTTATAAAAATGAAATGAGTATATTTTCTGCTTCCCCAGTGTTCTAGTGATTTAGTTCCAGGAATCACTGGAGGATTCTTCTTGATAGCTCTATGAACGGTAACACCACTAGATCCCATTACAATGACTTTTTGCTAGTGCTGAAAAGTTGAAAAAAAAAAAAAGAAAAATTTATGTATAAGTCCAAGTGGCAGTATCTAACCTGAACAATGACACCCAGAGGTGTGTGTCATTTCTGGAGTCATGTGATATTCTTTAAAGAAAGAAGGTAGAACCATGTATTCAATAAAACTAGTACCTAATAAACTGGAGACCAGCCCGCTCTGCTTATAACTGATTCCTCTAATTCCTCTAATAACAGCAACAAGTTGACTTCTTTCCAGGGTGAGGCTTCAGGGTTTCTTATTCTGGAGGCTTCCCATTTTAGTCTTCCTCATTTATCTTGGAGTTTTCAACTTAACATCAAGAACTTCCTTAATTTCACCCCATTAACACCTATGGTTCCTGTTGTCTCTTTTAGTCTTTGCAAAGATGTATCCTGTGTGGGCAGGCACGGTGCCTATTTAGAGGAGAAATTAAAAAGGGCGGGGGGAGAGAAATAGAACCAAAACAGATGCTCTCAGCTCAGAATTTAAGTGCCGCCTTCATTTGCTTTATGCTTCCCCTACTGTATTATTAAATCAAAAAGACTGTAGCATGAAGGGCCAAGATATATCACAAATCACTTTGGTCCCCAGGACACGGGAGGGCCATAGGGTACAAAGTACGGATGAGAAGTATTCATGTTAGGTGCGCAACTCCTATGGACTCCAATAGAAAGTCTTCTAAAATCGTATTTATATAATCTCCACTTGTAAAGATGCTGAAGTCCATAAAGTCTTGAACCTGGCTGTAACTCTCAACCTTGAGAGGTAGGCAGGGAAGGCAGTATTTGTCCTGTAATAAATGTAAGGAGGTTTCACTTGTGCTGACATCGGTTGTAAATGTATGACTTGGACATTATAACGAGACCATTGATTGTGTCATCCTCCTTTTATGAAATTTAATATAAGGGGTACATGCTCATAATTAAAAAAAATAAGGTATAGCAGGGATCACTATGAAAAGAAACGTCCCGATGAAACTACCATCCTCTTATGCCACAGATATTTTGATAACATTGAACTGTTTTTTAATACTATAACTGCTTGCACTATTCTTTTTTATCATTTTTTTCCAGTTTTTAAGAATATTGTAAAGACTTTATTTGAGAGAGAGAGAAAGAGAGAGAGGACAAGCAGAGGGAGGGGCAGAGGGAGAAGTAGATTCCTCACTGAGGGAGGAGGAGCCCAATGTGGGGCTGGATCCCAGGAACCCAAGATCATGACCTGAGCTAAAGGGAGATGCTTAACTGACTGAGCCATCCAGACAGCCCTTAATTAATTAATTAATTAATTAATCAATTATAAATTGGCATATTGCTATGAGGATT